AAAAAGTTTAAAATTCAATAAACACTGCTAAATGCAACAGAAAAGAGATCAAATACAGATATTATTCAATTTTGTTGATACATTCAAAAAAGCATTGAACTTTTTCTTTTAGTTCAGGACAAAATTTATTTTGCCAACTTTTTTTCAGCAGCAAAATAAAATAATAATTAAAAGCAGAAAAAAAGGAAAAGGTATAAGGTGTTTCTTCTTAAAAGCTAGTTGATACAATAAGATTTTAATTTAACTCGATGCAAAGTCATAATATAATAAAAAAATTATACTGTTAACTATGTTACAGCCAATACAAAACAAAACTATGTTACAGCCAGAACGGTGCGGTGCGGGCCAACCCTGGACCGGTCGGAAACCACACAACCGACCAATAGGCGGGCCGATCTGAGCCGTATGAAGAAGCTGAACAAACAAGACGGGCCGCGGAAGAAGAGGAGCGGGCAAGGTGGGCTGCAGAAGCGAATCAGGAGATGGTGGGGTCCACTAGGTCCATAATCACGAATATGACGAGAAAAAATTAGAAGAGTTTGAAGGTAAAGTTGAGAAGGAAAGTTTTTGAAATGTCGGAAACGAATTCTATTAACGGGGATAACTTAGGGTTTGTTTTTTTTAATGCATGTTTTTGTTTGTTTGTTGTTTCTTTCTTCTTATGGTGTTCCTAACGACGTCTAGAGTGTGGGAAAGACGATCTACCTCTCAAAAGTATATCATCATTGTATCTTGCATGTATTCCTTTGATTTTCGTAAAAACGGCTCTTGTTTGTGTTTCTTCCACCTATCTATTGTCATTTCGTCGTAGTTTGTTCGCTAATTTTGGTTCCGAGGCGTATCAAATTGGTATCAAAGCATAGATCTTGGTGGGATAACAAAAAAGTTGATGGGCTAAAAGGAGAGGTATGGCAAATCAGATCGGGAATGGAAGAGAGGTTCGCCACCATGGAGGACAGCTTTCTTCCATTGAAAGTTGGATGGAGGACGGATTTGAGAGTATAGAAAAAATGAGTGAGATGATGAAAAAGCTCATGGAGATGCAAGCCAATGTCGTGCCGATCGCTCCAGTTGCAAATTCTAACCAAGGGTTGAGCAATGAATCCTTGGCTAAGTCAAAAGGGAAGGAGATTGCGCAAGAAGATAACAAAGATCTCATTTACCTACAAGAACGCCCCCCTAGGACTCCGAGAGGAGGGGTAGTGAAGACTTCCAATAGAGGGGAATGGACCGAAAATTAGAGGAGGGATGGTGTAAGGGGCACAGAAGGAATGAGGGATTCGGGAGTGGGATATGCCTATGACATGAGGGACTTCCACCCTAGATACATGGGGGGAAATACCGAAGGAAGAGGTTGGGATGGAGATGCAATGGCCAGGAAACTGAAGATGCAAATCTTCGAAGGGGAGGATGCACATGAATTGGTGTATCAGGTGGAGCGGTACTTTGCAATCAACGGGTTGACTGAGGAAGAGAAGCTCACAC